CTACCGTCGCCATCTCAAGTCCAAGCTCGTTCCAATACAATACACATCCACTGCACGATAACTCCAAAAGCTACACTACAATCAAGCCTACAATCATTTTTCACCCCCTCCCAACTTCTACGACACTGAATGGGACCATCAAGTCTACTGCGAAAATGTGAAACTAAGTCCTAGAGATCCTCGTACAGATAAACGAAACCTCGATTCGTTCGGTTACCATGAATGGCACTTCAGGCAATTTCCAAAATGGAAAAGCTCGGTCACCTCGGGGCTAGAAAACTCGTGGTGCGTGCGAGAACGAGCAGTGGGGGTCGGCGGAGGGCAAAGAAAGGAGCATAGGGTCCCCCTGGATACGGACTTCCGGTGTTACGATAGCTATCGGGCTCGCAGGGGTTCCTACCTGGCACGCCACGTCTGGTTTTCCGATTAGGGGGATCGGTGACTGGACTAAAAACGCGCGCGTGCTCCGTCGCGTGTCCGTTCGCTCGGAATGTTTTTCGCAGATGACGCGGATTCGACTCTCCGAAGTGTTTATTCGCGTTGGTGGAGTTCGTTTAGATTCGAGGCTGGCCTGAGTCGGGTCTCGAAGTGACAGCTGGAACGAGCCTAACTTTATGAATTTTTTTCTCGCGGAACAACAATTCGTTCGCGAATCGCTTCGTCGGTATCTTGACGAATGCGCTTTCGAGGATTTTTCGTGAATTTTCGTTTGGGTATTTCAGTATTTATCGTTGCGATAAAGGGTAGCGTGAATGGAGTCGAAAAGATATTATTAGAGATGTGTGGACTAGGGAGTGATTATTCGTGGTTTTAGTATGGCGAGCGGGGTCCGATGCGCCTGGGAAAATGTTTGAGCTCCGCGGTCTATAATTTAAAAACATTTACTTCTTAACAATTTACTTCTTGGTATGACGCGCATTTAAATCGAACTGTTTGATGAAAGATGAGGACGAAGAGAATGACTTGAAGAATTACTTGAATCCTCTGAATACCTCTTTGTAGGGATACTACTCGTGGATAGGTAACGCGATGGACTCTCTTCATCGCCCAGGTCACACAAGATGGCTACCGATGTCCTCAGGGGCTGTAGCGGTTATAGCTACAGTACGGGCTTAGCAATCCCGAGGTACCCGAGCTAAAGGAGAGCTAGAGGGCTCCAATAGAAGAGAAGTAAGAGATACTGCACAGTATTAAAACAATGCAGGAATCATGTAAGACGATAACAAGAAGAACGGAAATAAGCTAGTAATAAGCAAGCAGTAGTGCAATAACTGTATAATAACTCACGCACTTTAAATAAATGAACTTTAATGAACTCTAAATGAACTTTAAATAAGAAGTGTGATGTATTGGAAGAGGTAATAAATTAGAATTAGCATAACAACGAAATATATATTTAAACTAAAAAATATATATATATATACTCTCTACGGACAGCGGTGCCCACTCCGAGAGAGCCAAAACAAAACATGCTTAGCGATTGTACACATACACACACATACACAAACTCAGGGACATGCATACATTACAAGAAGAATGGAAATAAGCTAGTAATAAGCAAGCAGTAGTGCAATAACTTTGTATACTAACTCACTCACTTCAAATAAATGAATGAATGAATGAATGATGGCTACCAATGTCCCGGTAGTCTCGGCTCCAACCCTCCAGGACTTGGAAAACGTTTCCTCTTCCACCATGAATTCTGCAAAACATAAATACACCAAACCTGGACTTTTGGATCCACCGCTCATCTCAAGGATTTATTACATCCCCCAATTAAGAAAGAAGATTCCTCCGAAGAAAAAGCCCTGGAAGCGTTCGCCATTAGCGCTCTATCTCCGCAGAGCAATCCCGCGCCAGCAATGGGAAGTCATGTTCGCGGTGGACAAGTTTTTTTCGAGCCCGGGCGCGCGAGACCCATCCTTCGATAAATCGTCCCGGCGAGAAAATGCCGCTGGTTCGACGATGTTTGGTCCTGGAAACGTTATCTGGCAGCAGCAACCACCGATTTATCCCGCGTCGGCAGCGAACGCCAGCGATCGTAACCTAATCGCGATGCAATTAACCGAGCAGTTTCCAATTAGGCCCGTAACGGGCGATCCGAGCTTTTGCGCGACGCGCGCTGATATTATTGCTGAAAATATTGCGGATTGCCGGGAACGTCGGGATGGAAATAATGTGGAGCGTGAAGGGCATTGCGAAGAGTAGCCAGAGATAGGGTTGGGCAATCTTTGGACGAGATGACAGCGTTCGTGGCGATTATGAATCCATCAGGCGATTGCGAGAGGAATAATAAGACCATATAGTAAGAATGTATAGTTAGAACGTGCTGATAGTTGTCAATTATCACCTACGGAAGAGTTGTGTAATATCCATTGTAAACAGAAGTGTAGTGGATACTTTAGTTAAGGTTAGTTAAGGTACAGTTAGGACGTGCTGATAGTTGAGCAATTACCATCTATGGAAGAGTTGTGTAGTATCCACTGTAAACAGAAGTGTCGTGGATACCCTAGTTAACACTTTATCTACCGGGCTATTTAGAAACAATCTTTAATTCAAAAAAGAATCTTCTACAGTAGCATATACCAATCTAGGCTGACAATAATTCCTCCATACTGTTACTAAGTACATTGAAAGCCAAGTCTGTTTCCAAAAACTGAACATTGTAAGTAGACAACCATCGACACAGTAAATAAATTCGAAAAGCTAAAGACTGGAATTAAAAAGCCTATAAATAGGCTCCCGGTAAATAAAGTGTTAAGGTTACGTTGTATATTTGTATGGAAAACGCATGCAAGACATATGTACCTACATAAATATCCCACATATCAGTCCGCGGTAATAACCCTTCTTTATTGGATATACAGATGTCTACACTCTGCACCAGTATCTCAGCGCTTTATACTCGAACCACCCCTATACAAAAGAGTATACCCTCAACAAACCTCCAACAAACCCTCAACGAACCCTCAAGAGAAAAACGATATATTCCCCTATGCTGTGTCCCCCACACAGCAGATTTTCTCAAGGCAGCCCGACAGTAAAAGCAGCCCCATAAATTAAAAAGAAAAATAGATCAGCGTGACACGGTGTACGAGGGCGCGCGGAAAGACGAATAGGACTTCGCGATCTGCGCGTACAGGACGCAGGGGGAAGGAGCTCGGTGAATTACGTAGGTTCGTAAGTCAGTCTCGCGGATTTCCGAAGATATCGGGAGAGGTACGACCCCGGCCCGCGGCGGGGCTCGGGCTTATCCGCCGGCCGATCTGGTCGGACATTATAGGGCCCGACAACGCGACCGGGTGGGAGGGAGATGCTGACCGCTGGCGGAGTATGGTCGGGCGAAAAAGATTTTATGAAAATTGCCCCGTGGCCCGCGCTCGACGCTCGTTCGGCGCCCTTCGGTGGCCGTGGGCGTCTAGGCCACGCCCACCGCGAGTCCGTTCGCGACACGCCGCCCGTGACACGCCCCTACGATTCGCCATCCCCACTCCGTCTCCCTGGCTCTGTCTCTCTCCCACTCCCGTCCGCGCGCTGACGCTCTGATCGCTCGCGGGGGGACTCAGTTCTCTCTCGACCGCGGTTCCACGCGGTTCGCGGTCTCTCTCGCGAGATCCTGTCGCCGCCTCCGCCCCCGCCCTCGCGACTCCATCGACCCTCTCCCCCCGCCCCTGGCCGAGCGTCTCGCCAGAGGTGACTGTCCAGGGCAGTTTCGAAGCCGCAGTCAACGGTTGCACCGCGTTACAGGAAGTAGTCTCGCTCGGTTTGTTACTCTCCATTGCGTGCCAGCGGCTCTCCGCTCGGTTCAGGAGCCTCCTTCCCAGCTTCGCGTGTCCTCCTATCGGCGATCGAATGTGCGCGTCCCGCGTCCAAGGTATCGATAACGTCGTGTCTGACCTTGTCGCGGAGCACGAAGGGCGTAGGATCCGTTCCGCGTGCAAGGATACGTCGCTCCGCGAAAGGAGCGGCCGCGGTGGTACGGTGAAGTGACGGAAAAAGTGTGACGGAATGACTAGTGCGCGAGTTCGCACGTGATAATCGACCCGATGATCGAACTCGAGTGGAAGCGATTCGCGGGGGAAACGGCGACGCGATCGTTCGAACTACGGAGGGCAGGATTGCGCGAGTAAATCGGAGGACAGTATTCGTGCGGATCCGAAGGTTGCCGAGAGGGAAATCCGATTTTCAAAATCGAGGAGGCTGGTTGTATTGGAGCTTCGAGATCTCGAGTCGAGGAAGGAGCCACGGTGAAGGAGCAGCTCCAAAACCCTGCGTATGGACGGTAGGATGCCGAGCAGCCACGACTGATTACGAGTGAGTACGTCTGGCCATCTTTCTTTCGCGGAAAAATCACGCCGCGGGCTTCCGCCTGTCACGGGGGAGGCCGAGTTTTACATGACAACCGGCGATAACGCGTTACGAGCCATTCGTCGAAAGGATACGGGCCCCGTTATCTCTGTGGTCGCGTATCGGTGCGTTAATTCACCGCTGATAGGGTTAATGGCGATGGTGGCAGGCGGCGCGAAACGCTAACCGTTCTTCCGTAATCTGCGAAATTCCCGATGCTGACTCGAACGCTCGGGCCGTGACTCGTTGCGAGAGAATTTTATCTTATTTTTCGAGGAAACACATGGGCGGCTTCGTTCGTCGTGGATCGGATGTTCAAGGTTTCACGCGCTGTTGTTTTTGTATACAGAGACAGGCCGTGTTCGTTCGTTGTTTGTAGGGTGATTGTTATTTATGTTTGGGGTCAAGGCGATAACGCGTCGATCTCTGAGGTTCGAGTACGTCGAGTATAGAGTGTTTAAGAAGGTTAGGGTTACAATGAAATAAACAGGATAAATTGATGGTAGTCTGGAATGTTTAGATGGTCTACGTGAAAGATTCGTTTAGTTCGGACCTTACTCTGATTTACTCTCATCTTGCTTTAACCCTTTGTTTACTTTATTTTTTCATTAGTATTAATTAAACGTTTTGAAACATGTCGTGACTTACAAGTCCACTTCTACGAAGTTCACTTTTAATTATTGGATGGCAAGCTTGTTTTCTTACGGAAGCTTGTTAGAGATGAGACCAAGATGGACGCCTAAGGGCGATCCCACACGGTGCAACCGATTTGGAATTAGTATTGCAAACTGTTTGCGCTCTTTGTTTTACCTACTCCACTATCTTTGTTTTATCTATATCCACGGTCGCATGCAACTAGTTTCACTTTGAAACTTTCAGTGTGGTTTGAAACTGATCGGTTGCGTCTGTGTGCGATCGGCCTAAATTTTAAAAACTTTTGAAAAATTCAGTATACAGAGGGTTAACTAAAGCAAGCTAGACATTGAACATCGTTAACATAAAAGCAAACACAGGCCGTTGAAATTTATACGTTTGGACTAGAGATGGCGTGCAAAATCACTAACCGTTATTTATCACAGTGATAGCAAAATCACGATCACTATGGTGATTTAATTTCATTCACGAGGATGATCGTGGTTCTTTTATCTTGCTAGAAGAATTGCGTGATCACAATTCTTGATCTCAATTAAATTACTTTTTATACAATGTTTCAATATACATAGTTTGCATACAAAATCCGCATATAATATCAATTTCAATTTCCTTTATTAAGTACATTAGTAGATCATTTATTTTGTGCGGTGGCTACTTCAGTCCCATGCGAAAGAATATTTTCTAAAGCAGGATTACTACTAACGGAAAAAAGAAACTGATTGCAAGCAGAGAAATTATCTATGCTATTATTCTAGAACAGCAATACATAGTTACTTATTTGTTATTATATATATATAGTATATATAAATTATTACTTTATTATATATATTACTTTATTTATAGTATTCGTATATATATACGAATACTATAAATAAAGTACAAAGAACCATATATATTTTATTCTATTGGTATTTGGTTCTTTGTATTTTATTTATAGTATTCGTATTATGTTTTATGTATTAATTATACTGTTTTCTAACAGTGTTACATTTTGTAAAAGTCTAAAGACACTTACAACTAAACTAAGACTTGCAATTCATAATTATTGACTTATATTCGTTGCTCTTCACTGTTTCTCGTTAAAGCATTCCTTTATTTACTATTCTTTACTTTATTTTATGCGGTGTAGGTAATTCGCATTTTTGTTTTGATGTCGTTAATTACATACTTGTGTAGAATATGTGTGAAATATACATATTAGGGTGTTTTTCATTGCGGTGCATTTACATTTAAGCTGAAGATTCTAACACCGCGCGCAAGGAACGGTTATGTTCTTCACCAATCAGAAGCGATCACGAAAAATCACGAATCACTTTGAAAAATCACCGTGATTGGCAACGAACGTGATCGAATCACGAGTGATTCACAAGTAGCAGTTCTAGCCATCTCCAGTTTGGACCATACGCACATCTCGTAATTCTATCGCGATGTATTAGAAAATGGCGTCGCGTACGAGACTCCGGCACTCGGTGCAGAGTGAAGCAGCTGTTGTTTTCGCATAGTTTATCGAATCTCGCAATTTGCGTACTTTTCGCCACAATCACCTGCTATCATTACACGTTTACCCTGTGCCAATAATTTTCCTCTACCAGCAGAAGCTTTCTCGTCCACCTTTGGACGCTTCCACTCGCTTCCACTCGCTTCCACTTCTTTGTCGCGTGGATGTTTATTTTGTCGCGATGGTATTCTAAATCACTCGAACGATATCTCTGCAAGAATCTGGAGTTGCGAGGATGAGGCAGATGTGGCAGGGCCTTCGAGCATAATCTCGCAATGATTTTGAAACGTTAAGGGCGCGGTATACGGGCGAACGTTTGCGACGAATGTTTTCTGCAACGTAGTTTGTTTCGTTTAACACGTTGATTGCCAAACGAATATTCTTGAAAATTTCTGCTAAGATTAAATATTATTTAGACTATCGGAGTCTAGGTAATGAAACATTTATCGTGGTATTTAGTTTTGTAATTACATCAAAATTCAAGAAGCTCATTTAGATTCGTCTCCTGTGACGTCTAACTTTCAGAATTAATCTTTCTAGTTCTTGAGTGAAAAACACTGTCACCCATATATGGGTGACATGACGGTCAACGTGTTAAGCATTTCCAGTCGAGAGGTGACTTTCAGTCACCACTAGGTTTCTTTTTGGTTTCTTTTAGGTTTAATTTCTTTCGAACTCGAAGTACCAATAAAATGATTGTCGTTGAGGCAAAAGTGACCTGATCTTCAAATCTCATATTCGAAGTCAATCTAAGCTTAGCGTTCGTGACAATAGAATACTAAGAAAGCAAAGGGTTAATTTCCAAGCACGGGACCATAGGCCTGCGTTGTTCTTCTTAAAATTCTTTTAAATGTCGTTAGGGCCACAGGTGCTTGCGAGAAACATTAAAATTGCACTAAGAAGTATGAAACAATTTCTAGTTAATTTATATGAATACTCGCCAGCTCTAGATATAATTGTTTAAAAGTACGAGAAAATGCATTGAAAAGTATGAAATAATTTCTATTTAGACTGCATCGTTAACCGACTACAAAAAGGTTATTTAATATAATTTAATATAAAAGAAATAGAAATTATTTCATACTTCCAAGCAATTATATCTAGAACTGTTGAGTATTCGTATCAATTAACTAGAAATTGTACACAGTTACTACACAGTTACTACACAGTTACTACAGTTATACTACAGTTATACTACAGTTACAATTACAGTTACAGTTACAGTTATACTACACTTTGAATTAATTTTTTCGAAGTCGGTTATATTACTTTTCCAAAAATTATTTTTATACTCGCTAGTTCTTGACGAATTCGATGAAATTATTAAATACGCTACAACCTTTTCGAAGTTGGTTAATAAGGACAATTTATGTGACATGTTTTTTAGTGCAGTTTTAATTATTTTCGATATCTCTCGAAATTATCTTTCGATATTGTCATATTTGGTTAGCGGGTTAAGGTGTCAATGAACTATTCACGCGCGGTTTGCACTGTATAAAGGAAATATTTATTTACGTAAAGATATATATATATATATAATAATCGAAATTCATTTATATATGTATATAAATATATATATATAAATAAATTATATATATAATCATTTATATGTATATAAATGAATTTCGGCTATTGCCGCAATCGTACGCATAGAACGCATAAGAAATAGTAAAACAAAACGACATCAGCCGATGTCGCTGCCACGATCCACGCCGCTGTCGATATATTTTCCAAACAGATATTTATGTCGATCTCTCTCGAAATTACTCCTACAGTAATGACTATTATATATGACGTTTACTATTGCGTATGCACTTTAATAAATAACGGTAGGGATGAAATCAAATTTCTCGGCTACCGAATGCGAGGAGAAGCATCAACCGAGTGGATTTAACATATCGAAAGAAAACAGTCCGTGCATCGTTGCATGGTGAAGGATAGTTTCTGCCCGCGTGTTATCGCGATACATCGAAGCATGCCGGCACCGCCATTCTTTCCCTAGGCCCCCAGGAGTCCCTTTTATCTGAATGGGGATTCCCCGTAGGAACCGCGATACGCGCCAACTCGCGCACTAAACCGTGGCGATTCCGAATAGTACTGTTAGCCCCTGAACTCGTCTAATTTACAACGATAACGCGAGATAGACGCGTGTACCGTCATTCCTCCGCGTCATTACGCGTGGGTGTCCCTTCCACGTGGAACTTTTTTGTGCGAAAGAAGATTAGCCCGTAAATAGAGGGACGACGTAAGTTGTACAAGAATTTACTTCAGATATTTTTATAGGGAAAAAGATGGATTATAGAAGATAAGGACAGGAGATATAGGAAGAAGGATAGGAGATATAGAAATTGACAAAAGGCACTATTAAGGAGCGTCTACCTTTTTCTTTTTATTAGGACGAAATTTTCGGAGCTTTCTTTTTATTAGTATAGATTGATTAGTAAAGCTTTTATTTAGATTTTATTAGAAAAGGTTTTGCTTAGATTTGTTAGTAAAGGTTTTATCGGTAAAGCTTGAGTACCCTTTTGTGGTGTGCAATACAATCATTCGAGAGTGATGAGTTTTCGAAAAACGAATCGGAGAAAAGAGAGGTAGAGGAATGTAGAAACGCTTAACCCGTTAAGGACAGGCGTTCTAAACGGATATGAAACAAAGAGTACCCGGTTCCAGGCGCGATAGCATATCGCGAGGCGACCGATACGAATAAGTTCCGGTGTTACGCTACGTGCGAGCTTGTCACTCCCTCGATGCAAATTTGCTTTGGCCCGTGGAAAGAAAATATGTACAGATAATAGTCGGGTGCTCGTCAAACTCAGTCA